AGCGCGCGCGATGCACGAGACGCCGCAGTATCGCGCGTGGAACGCAGTCGCAGCACGGGACGTCCCGTCGCAATCTTGGATCTTGGCTCGCGCGCTCAAGGGTCGCCCGCTTGCGCGCGCAAGCGTGGTTCAACCGCAGCCCAAGCGAAATTCAAGTGCAGTCCAGGTGTAGCCCGTGTGGTTCAAGTGTAGTTCCAGCGCAGTTCAAACGTAGTCGACGCGTTGTTCGCCCTCCGCCCCCGCCTTGCCCCCCGCCGAGCACCCGCCTGCCTCTCAGCAATCCGACCCCGATTCCAACTTCGGCGCATCTCCCGTCTCTGTCTTGCACTTCGTCTTATTATCTTAGTACCCCTCTTGCTCAGCTTGACCTCCTAGCCCGCGGTCGCTCGCCTTCGCCGCCGCCTCCAGCTCCGTGGTCCTCCTGTCCTTCACCTCTACCTCCTCCATGTACTGGGCCGCCTCCGTCTCCGCGTGATGCCCTAGGTTGGCGAGCGCATCCATCTCCCCCTGCTGATCATCCGCCGCCTGCGACCGATTCCCGCCCCCCCCCCCCCCCCCCCTACCGCCCTCGCCCGTCGTCCTCGCCCTGGTCTGCGCGTCGCAACCCCTCATCATTTCCCCCATCCACCGCGGCCAGAGCTAGAAGTGCCCTGTCGACCGCCGCCAGCTCGCGACCCATCTGCAGGCCCACCGGCAACGCCATCCCAGGGCACCCGTGCGGGGGGGGGGTCCGACGACGAGGGCGCTCGCGAGGCTTGAGGACATGGTTTGGGCGGGCGGGCGCGGGGGCGGAATGTGGACCGACGCTGCGGAGGGGTAGGGCTGCGTGGAGGGGCCGCGCTGGATAGAGAGAGGCGTAGATGGGTAGCCGTTGTAAATTACATTGCGTCCGAGCTCCCAAGGCTCCGACCCCTCGTAAATTGCGCTGCGCCCGCGCCGCGAGGGCCACGACCCCTTGCAAATTACGCGCGGTCCGCGCTCCCAACGCCACGACCCCTCGTAGATTGCGCAGCGCCCGCGTTCCCAGGGCCCCCGTGGGGCGCGCCGGGGCGCCCGGGCCCTTCAAGTTTTGCCCGACAAGCGCGTCGCTCGAGACATCCTGTATTTTTTGGCGCGGGGGGCGCGCCATCCTGGAGCTGGCGAGCAAAAACTTTACACTGCCACGCTAAATCTGTAAATGAGCAAGCGAATCAGTCGAGGCACCCTCGAAATTCCTGCGCGCGGGACGCGGCGCGCACGAGACATCCTCGGAATTCCTGCGCGCGGGGCGCTTTTCCGCATCGCGGTCGGCGCTCCAGATTTGTACCTAACAGCGAAGACTGATAGGCTTCTAGGCGCGATCCGGGGGGATGCCGGGGAACTCGTTTTAAGCAAACAGTAACGCACTTCGTGGTCTTCGGGTTTCCCAGAACTCCATTCATGGGCATGGTTTTGATGCCCGGAGCCAGCTGTAAGCCACTTCGTGTTCTTCGTGTTCCCAGAACACCATTCCCGGGTCAGATTTTGAATGCCTGGGGCCAACACTATAAGCCACTTCGTGTTCTTCGTGTTCCCAGAACACCATTCCCGGGCCACATTGAATGCCCAGAGCCAGCTGTAGGCCACTTCGTGTTCTTCCTTTTCCCAGAACACCATTCCCTGGCCACATTTTGAATGCCCGAAGCCAACTGTGAACCACTTCGTGTGCTTCGTGTTCCCAGAACACCATTCCCAGGCTACATTTTGATTGCCCGGAGCCAACTGTGAGGCTGAGGCTGAGGCAGGCTGAGGCTGAGGCAGGCTGAGACTGAGCCTGATGCAGGCTGAGGCCGAGGCTGAGGCTGACGCAGGCTGAGGCTGAGAGGCTGACGCTGAGGCTGAGGCAGGCTGAGGCTGAGGCTGGGGCCGAGGCAGGCTGAGGCTGAGGCTGAGGCAACCCGAGGCAGGCTGAGGCTGAGGCTGAAGCTGAGGCAGGCTGAGGCTGAGGCTGAGGCTGTGGCTGAGGCTGAGGCAGGCTGCGGCTGAAGCAGGCTGAAGCTGAGGCTGATGCAGGCTGAGGCTGAGGCAGGCTGAAGCTGAAGCTGAGGCAGGCTGAGGCTGAGGCTGAGGCTGAGGCTGAGGCTGAGGCTGAGGCAAGTTGCGGCTGGGGCTGAGGCTGAGGCTGAGGCAGGCTGAGGCTGAGGCTGATGCAGGCGGAGGCTGAGAGGCTGACGCTGAGGCTGAGGCAGGCTGAGGCTGAGGCTGAGGCCGAGGCAGGCCGAGGCAGGCTGAGGCAAGCCGAGGCAGGCTGAGGCTGAGGCTGAAGCTGAGGCAGGCTGAGGCTGAGGCCGAGGCTGAGAATGTGGCTGAGGCAAGCTGCGGTTGAGGCAGGCTAAGGCTGAGGCTGATGCAGGCTGAGGCTGAGGCAGGCTGAGGCTGAGGCTGAGGCAGGCTGAGGCTGAGGCTGAGGCCGAGGCAGGCTGAGGCTGAAGCCGAGGCAAGCCGAGGCAGGCTGAGGCTGAGGCTGAAGCTGAGGCAGGCTGAGGCTGAGGCTGAGGCTGTGGCTGAGGCTGAGGCAAGCTGCGGCTGAGGCAGGCTGAAGCTGAGGCTGATGCAGGCTGAGGCTGAGGCAGGCTGAGGCTGAAGCTGAGGCAGGCTGAGGCTGAGGCTGAGGCCGAGGCTGAGGCTGTGGCTGAGGCTGAGGCTGTGGCTGTGGCTGAGGCAAGCTGCGGCTGAGGCAGGCTGAAGCTGAGGCGGATGCAGGCTGAGGCTGAGGCAGGCTGAGGCTGAGGCTGAGGCAGGCTGAGGCTGAGGCCTCCTCTCCTTCCTCCTCCGCGGCAGATAGCCGGCCCGAGGTGGGCTTCTCTGCGCCCGTCGTGTCCCGCCTCTCGCGGGTTGCGATGGAACCGAAGGCTCCTCCACCCTGTCAATGCTTTCCCGCGGGCATCCGAGCTCTGGGAGCTTCTCTGCGTGATCCTCAGGATCCAGGACGGCCGGGGCTGCTGGTATTTTCAGCCACGCCCAGGCGGCCACCGCCGCCTGGCCAGTGGAATGAGCACGCTGCCGCCGGGGGCGAGCATGGCCCCCGTGCGGCCCGGGGCGAGGGGTTCACCCCCTTCGCAAAAAGGGGCGGCGTAGCCTAAGCCAGCGGCTGCGGAGAGGGGAAAGGAGGGAGAGGCAACGGCAGAGGAATAGCCTCGTTGAAAGGGTAAGCCCCTCTCGCAGAGACAGCATAATTGATGCTGTTCTGTTTCGGTGATATAGAATGAATACTCTAGTCTTGAGGCTTGAACTTGCCCGACGGGGCCGTCAGGATGTTGACTGTACCAATTGAAAACATGATCGACCCACGAACCCGGAAAGGAATATAGAAATGTAACGCGTGGCGGCGTTTTCAAAGACAACTGATTTGGCAACGGGCAAATGCAATGCTGAGTGTATCGGTCTTGATGTACCGTGCCGAAGTCTGTGCTGTGCTGCACCGTGCTGAATTTCGATGTGCCATGCCGCGACTGTGCTCTATAGCGTTGTGGATCGAGTCTTCCTGTGCATCCGAGCCCGGACCGAACTCATCTGGATCTTAAGCTCGAGCTGCCTGAACACATAGTAGCTGCCCCAGAGCTAATTGACAGGGAGACATGCCAGGAGGGCGCGCCGCGAAACGTCCCAAAGGACGCGCCAGGCGACGTGCCAGGGGACGTGCCATGGGGTCGCACCGCGGGACGTGCCAAGGGAACGCGCTACGGAAAGTGCTGGGGACAAGCGTTTCGCTCGAGACATCCTGTCAACATCCTCATGCTAGACATCCGCCTGAGCGACCTGGACACGTGAAAAGAAGCGTGTCGCTCCACACATCCTCAACACATTCTCATGCTAGACGCCATCCTCAACACATTCTCATGCTAGACATCCGCCTGGGCGAACTGGACACGTAAAAACAAGTGGTTCGCTCGAGACATCCTCAACAAATCTTCATGTGAGACGTCCGCATGGGTGACTTGGGCACGTGAAAACAAGCGTTTCGCTCGAGACGTTTTCAACACCTCCTCATTCCAGACATCCGCCTGGGCGACCTGTACACGTAAAAGCGAACGTCCCGCTCGAGACATCCTCAACACATCTTCATGTTAGACATCCGCCTGGGCGACCTGGACACAAGAAAACAAGCGTATCTCTCGAGACATTCTCAACGCATCCTCATGCTAGGCATCCGCCTGGGCAACCTGGACACGTGCAAACAAGCGTCTCGCTCGAGACTTCCTCGACACATCTTCATGCTAGACATCCGCCTGGGCGACCTGGACACGTGAAAACAAGCCTCTGGTTCGAGACATCCTCAACAAATCCTCATGCTAGACATCTGTCAGGGCCACCAAGAGGCTTGAAACCACGCGTCTCGCTCGAGACATCCTCAAGACCTGGGCACGTGAAAACAAGCAATCTACTTGAGAGATCCTCAGAATTCAGGTCCCCAGGAGAGGACAATCTATAACACAAAACAAGCGTTTCGCTCGAGACATCCTCAACAAATTCTGAACAACAAGCGTTTCGCTCGAGACATCCTCACATTTAAATTCGCCGGCCCTTCGCGACCTCGTTATTTTATTGCAAAGAAATTCGCCGGCCCATCTCCGGGGGTAAACCTCTAAAAGAGAACCTTGGGCCTAAGCCCTTTCCGGGAAAAGACACGACCCCCCGCTGCAGACGTACGGCGAAAACTGGACATGCCCTCCATGGGACGTCAACGAGCGGCGGCAGGCTCAGACTCTGGCAAACTTGAATCTCCCATTTTCGATGTTTCGCACAAGCCCGACCCGCTTCGCACACCCTGCATACCGCGGCCACCAGGCCCCCAAAGTCCAGGTGCTCTCTGGGCGCCCCGCATCGCGTCTTCGACGAACCACGAGTGCATACCGCGGCCGCCAGGCCTGAGGGGCCCGCTGCTCCCGGGGGATCCCTCCTCGCGTTCTCGGTTGGGGATCGCTCGACACAGAATCCCTTGGTGTGTTGCAGTTGTTTGCTCGCCCCCCCCGCCGAAGCGCCTCCGCCCCTCCTCGCGAGGTTCCGCAGCAGCGGCCGGACAACCGCTGGCGGGGCCGCGCCGCGGCGGGCGGCCTCCAGCAGCGGCAGCGCCTGGCCGCAGGCGGGCCCTCCTCGTGCTGCTCCTCCTTCTCCTCCTCCTCCTCCTGCTCCGCCTCCTCCTCATTCTCCCTCCTCCATTCCTTTGCCTTGAAGCTAACTCCTCCCTGTCGCACCCGGAGGCCAATCGAAAGGGCGTGCTGGGCGCTTCGCCTGATAATTCCGCACCACTTATGCTCTTGTGCTCTTGAAACTCAAGAATTGGCAACAAGATCATAGATAAAAAGCAGGTTGCTTCCAAGCTGTGGCTCTCGCCTTCACGCCGCGCACATTCGTTGAACAAATGTGGGGGATTTCACGTATGGAGGGTAAGTGGTTTTCAACATGTGGTTATCGCCTTAGCGCTGTGTTCCTTCAATTTCAACAATTCTACAAGTTTCACGGATTGAAGGCGGGTCGTCTTCAAGATGTGGTTCTCGCCTTCGCGCCGCGCACAGTCGTTGTAAATATTCGCCAGCCGTTCGCGGATTGAGGGCGGTTCGTTTTCAAAATTGGCGCTCGCATTTGCGCCGCCCACACTCGTTTTAAACAATTGATTGATTTCGCGGCTTCAAATTGCCAACGTGCCAGAAATTGAGCTTTGAAAAGAGTCCGGATTGTGAGTGCGCAGCAGTTATGTTGATTCGCGGTGTTGACGTCTCAGGAATGGTATTCTGGCACGATTCCGTATCGCCCAGACGCAACAGTCATGTTGATTCGTGGTGTTGGAGTCCTGCCAATGGCGTTTTGGCACGCTGCCTCAGAGGAAATGAACCCTTGTAGGGGCCTTTGAAAAGGGAGCTAGGAGGGAAGGTTTATTCCAACACAATGTATGAGTCTTTGGTTCCACTGGTCCTCCTCCTCCTCCTCCTCCTCCTCAACCTCCGCCTCCTCCTCCTCCTCCTCTCAACGTTCAACGATGCGCTGCCAACCAGACCTGCAGCTGCACTTGAGTTTTGGTTGTGTCAATTCAGGTTTTTTTCAACTCCACCTGCAGGCCTTTCAGTTGTTCTGTCCACTCCAGCTGGGGCTTTGACTTCGGCTTCAGCTGAGCTGGGTGCGCCGCGAAAAACTTTCGGGCAATCTCACCAGAGTCGGCTTTCCGATCAAATTGGTGCCTCCCCCCTCCCTCCCTGCCTGGCCGATTTAGCGCCCCCCGCGGCGCACACTAAGGAGTCTCGCGTGGTACAAAAACCATGTCTTTTTAATCGGATACTTTCGGCATCCACAGGCCCCTGCGAAGCCCAGCGCGCGTCAAGAACGGCTCAGTCAGGATGACAAGCCGTCCCCAGGGAAAAGACGAGAGGACCCTTCCTCCATTCCTCATCCCCCAAGAGTCAGGCACCTCGAACAAAATCGATGCCGTTCGCATCCATGCTTGACCACCGGAAGCCCATTTCGGGCCCATCGGGGCCATAACATGATCGACCCACGAATCCAGAAAGGAATATAGAAATGTAAGGCATTGCAACATTTCAAAGACACCTGATTGGGCGACGGGCACATGCAATGCTGAATGTATCGATGATGATGTACTATGCCGAGGGCTGTGCTGTGCTACGCCGTGCTGAACTGCGATGTGCCATGCCGCGATTGTGCTCTATATAGCGTTGGGGATCGAGTCCTCCCTGGCATCGGAGTCCTCACCAAACTGATCTGGAGCGTAAGCTCGAGCTGCCTGAGCAGATGGTAGCTGCCCCAGAACTAATCGACAGAGGGAACATGCCAGGAGGACGCGCCGAGGAACGTCCCAAGGGACGCGCCAGGCGACGTGCCAGGGGACGTGCCATGGGCACGCACCGCGGGACGTGCCAAGGGGACGCGCTACGGAACGTGCCAGTGGACGTGCCGAGGGACGTGCCAGGGGACGCTCCGCGCGACGTGCCAGGTGGACTCGCCAAGGAACGCGCCAAGGAACGTGCCAAGGTGCATAGTTGAGTGTATCGATCTTGATGTACCGTGCCGACGGCTGTGCTGTGCTGGGCCGTGCTGAACTGCGATGTGCCATGCCGCGATTGTGCTCTGTATAGCGTTGTGGATCGAGTCCTCCCTGGCATCCGAGTCCTCACCGAACTGATCTGGATCGTAAGCTCGAGCTGCCTGAGCAGATGGTAGCTGCCCCAGAACTAATCGACAGAGGGAACATGCCAAGAGGACGCGCCGCGGAACGTCCCAAGGGACGCGCCAGGCGACGTGCCAGGGGACGTGCCATGGGCACGCACCGCGGGACGTGCCAAGGGGACGCGCTACGGAACGTGCCAATGGACGTGCACCGCGCGACGTGCCAGGTGGACTCGCCACGGGACGCTCCGCGGAACGTGCCAGGCAACATGCCAGGCTGCAATGCTCAGGGTATCGATATTGATGTACCGTGCCGAGGGCTGTGCTGTGCCTGGGCGACCTGGACACGTGAAAACACGCGTTTCGCTCAAGACGTTGTCAGCATATCCTCATGCTAGACATCCGCCTGGGCAACCTGGACACGTGCAAACAAGCGTCTCGCTCGAGACATCCTCAACAAATCCTCATGCTAGACATCCGCCTGGGCCGCCTGGGCGACCTGGACACGTGAAAACAAGCCTCTGGTTCGAGACATCCTCAACAAATCCTCATGCTAGACATCTGTCTGGGCCACCTGGAGGCGTGAAACCAGGCGTCTCGCTCGAGACATCCTCAAGACCTGGGCACGTGAAAACAAGCAATCCACTTGAGAAATCCTCAGAATTCAGGTCCCCAGGAGAGGACACTCTATAGCACAAAACAAGCGTTTCGCTTGAGACATCCTCAACCAATTCTTAAAAACAAGCGTTTCGCTCGAGACATCCTCAAAATTGTATTCGCCGGCCCTACGCGACCTCGTTATTTATCGCAAAAAAAATTCGCTGGCCCTACAGCCGTCAAAACCGGGGGTAAACCTACTAAAAGAGAACCCTGGGCCTATGCCCTTTCCGGGAAAAAAAGAAAACCCTGGGCCTATGCCCTTTCCGGGAAAAAACAGGTCGGAACCAAACGGCTGCCCTGGGCACGGGGGCAAGAGGTCTGGTTGCCCACGGATCGAACAAATCGAAACCCTCATGTCTGGCTTCTTCCCTCCATGTTCCTCCCCTTTCAAAATTCTAACCCATAGTTCATCGCGTCGTGAACAAATCGAGGATGAAAGCAACTCTTGGCCCGCAGGGTCTGGGTCTGAACTCCAGCGTCCACCGCAGTGAAAAAATCGCTACGTCGAAGGCACGGGAGGACAATGGGGGAAGTGCGAAGAACAAACGTAGATCCATACAGATGCTCTCCAACGGTGCGTTCTGACCAGAATGTCGAAGCGAATCGAGCGGTGGCGACGAGGCCAAACACAGGGAAAACGAGGCTCTTTTTCATCCTCTGACAAAAGGCGGAAGGACATGGCTCGAGTTGCAGGGCCCGCCCCGGTCTCCTGGGCGGCGGCGGGGCCCCCCAGCGCACACCAGAGCTCGACGACCGCTGACAGCTCGGCGGAGACGCCCCCCGAGGCGTCGAGCGACCTCGCGCAGAGCTCCTCGTGGGGCCCCCGGACCTCTCCGCGACGCTCTGGCCGTGGCCGCCAGGCGCGACGCGAGGCTGTGTCTTCGCGTCCCCGCGGGGCGACCCAAAATTGCACGGCGTTGGCCCGCTCCCGACGCCCGGAACCCCACTAGGCGGCGCCCATGGCGCGACTCTGCGTCCGCCATCGGGGCCGCCCTCGTTTCGCATACGCTGGCCTTCCGCTGGCCGTCCGCTGGGCGCTCCGGTCACTTATCCGGGGGCGGCCGTTCGCCCCGAGCCAAAATTCGACGGCCCGCGACCCCGAGCGGGCTGGCGGCCAGGGGGCCCAAGAGTGGAAACAGACAAGACGCCTCACACATTTTGGGCCAAGGGGAGCGACGGGGGGGAACGGGGGGAAACAGGCTGGCGGAACGTGTATACATATAAGCATACATATGCGCATGCACATGTGTAGATTTATATATGTTCATATACATACATACACATGTACGTGGAGAGAAACAAAGAGAGGAATGGAGACAGATACTGGGAGCGCCAGCGCGTGTTTCATGGAGACTGAAAATGCACATCCGACATGCAGCTGTAGCAAGATCGGGCGCCAAGGCGCCACTCGGAGACTCCTGAGCAAATTAAGCGCGAAGACGGCCACTTGGTAAAACATGAAAAGACATGGCATGCGGCAGGAGCGAGAGCGGAAGAGCAGGGAGGGGAAGAACCTTGAGCGGATACGTCACCGGAGACAGCGACACGGCGAGACCTCAGGCACGGCGCGCAACTGTTAGTTGTCAAAACCGACCAGAGACTTAGCCCTCCTTCCCCGGGGAAGCCAGCAGCACCTTTATTTTCGAAACTGGAGCAAGACACATGTCACATGCAATTGTAGCAAGACCAGGCGCCCAGGTGCCACTTGGAAACTCCCAGACCTGTGATAAACTTAATGACGACGGGCCAAACATACCACAAGTAAGGGGACATGGGAAATCAAGGCTTTAAAGCGTTTCCACAAGACAGACACTCGCAGCTATTCCGCAACATGGATCGTACGGGAAACGCTTGTACGGGTCAGTTGGCAAGAGCAAGCGGCAGCAATGGCGGCCCAATGCAGCCCTCCAGGGGCATGACCAGGGAGCTCCAGGCGCGGACGACCTGTGCGAAAGCAGAATTTGCAGTCAGCATGGCACCGACGCTTTAGAGGATTCATGCCGCCCTCTTCGCCGAGCAACGGTTCGAGCGCAGGTCTTCCCAGGGGTACCAGATTGAAGATGGTGTAACCGAGCTTCTGAACAACCGAGGGAACGGCGCAAGAACTGTTAGCGGGGAGTCTGCCACATCAGAGATCCTCCCGTGTCTTCGGGACAATAAGCATTCCAGCCTTCCTGCAATACCCGATTCGAGACATGAGCAGTTGCACTGCCTACACTCAGTCGAGCCTGTTGAACTACTGAGAGAAACGGTCGACCAATGGGTCACGTTGATGATTGGATTGGTCGCCCCAGCGCCTGAAGCAGCGTAGCGCATGGGGTGTCCGTCCAGACTCCCCTCACGGCGCCAAAGGAAGTCAACCCCCGAAAGCCTCTCCACATCAACGACAAATTGCCATGCACACCCATTTGAATGTCCACCGACACGACAGAGCATCCAAGATGCCGAAGCTGCTCGCCAACGCCACCTGTGCCGGCGAAGAGCTCCAGGAAAACATAACGGCGCCGCCGAGAGGCCCTGTGGAGGGCAGCCTGGAACTCCCGATGCCAGCTGCTAAGCGGGTCAGCAACGGCGCGGCGCTTTCCCAGCGCGCGCCCTGGCGGCTACAGGACGCAGGCGGGCCGCCTGGCTGAAGTTCTGGGAACCTGAACTCGGCGGTCCATAAATCGCTGCCTCCGCGAAACGCCTGGCCCGCAGCCGCGCCACCTCCAGCGCGACGCAAACCCCTCCTCCACCAGCCGCACGGAATGACGCTCCGCCAGTTCCCCGAACGCGAGGTGCACCAGTGGGGCCAGGCCGATCACGCGCTGCCGCTTCGACTCCGTCGCATGGTGGGCTATCGACAACGCTGCCTGACCGACTTGCGCCACCGCGCGGTGCTGAATGAACATATCGCTGGAGGCGCCTCCGAGTTTGAGGGAGCGCAAATGCGGCTGCAACCTCTCCAGGCTCGGCCGCGTCACGGCCCGGGCGAACGCGACTTATAGTCCCGACGGGCAGAACGGACAGAGAGGCTTGCCGTGGCACGAAGCAAACTAGGGCGCCTGGAGCAGCGGGCTGAGCCAAACGTCCAAGCCCGCCAGCACGGACCCAACGAAGAGCCTCATCCTGCCCGGCTGCGACGCCGCCACGTTGTACAGGAGGACCCCCCACGCCCAGAAGGCTGGACCAACCGCTGTTGTCGGCCCCACTAAATACCGCACCTTGGGCTTAGCAAACATCGCACGGCTGGAAGTAGCGCGCGACAGCAAGCATGACCCGCGGAGCCCCCCGCTCCTTGCCGAGAACCAGCACGATCCCAACAACAGCGAGCGACGCCGACACCAGCAGCAGGCACCGAGTGAGGCTGGGGTCGCTCCGCCCCCAAGCGATGGTCGCCCTCCAGCTCTGTGCTAGAGCGGCCTTTCCTGCCGGGCGAACCTCGGGAAGGACGGCGCCAGGGACAATAGGCGTGAACCACGGGTGTTCCTGAGCGCCTCTCCGAGCGATCAGCGCTATGGACACCCTCATGCTAACCCCGACCCAGGTAGCAAAGAATGTATGGCCGACGGGTTTGGGCCAAGGGGATACAGCGTGGCAGAGCTCAGGGTGCGCAAGCGTCCAGTCATGAAGACAACTTTATAACCTTAAGAAGTATTTAAGAACCCCCGTTATTTCATCACCGCATAACAAATGAATTCCCGTGGGTGATTTTAGCGGAGGGATCTATTTAGCACCGCGACAAATAGCACAAACAAACGAAATAACGCCCACCTCAGGCTCGTGTTCAACAACTAATGTTCGCCTATGCGCCGCACACACTCGTTGAAACATTGCACGAATTTCACGGGTTGAGGGCGGCTCGGCTTCAACATATAATTTTCTCCTCAGCGCCGCGCGCATGAACAACTTGCAAGAGATTCGCGGATTGAAGGCGTCGTTTTTACACATTTAGCTCTCGCCTTAGCGCCGCGCGCATTCGCTTTCGCACGAGTTTCACGGATTGAAAGCGACTCGGTTTCAAAGTCTAGCTCTCGCCTAAACGCTGCGCACATATGCGTTATAACATGTGCACGGGTTTCTCGAATTGAAGGCGGCTCAGCTTCAACATCCAATTCTCGACCCAGCGCCGCGCACATTGGCCTTTAAAGATGTGCACGGATGTCACGGATTGAAAGCGGCCCAGTTTCAAAACCTACCTCTCGCCTCAGCGCCGCGCGCATTCGCTTTAGTAAATGTGGACGAATTTGACGGATCGGCGGCTGCTCGGTTTCAAAATCTAGCTCTCGCCTCCGCGCCGTGTACATCGTTTTTTTTGTATATGTATGTACGTATGTATGTATGTATGTATGCATGTATGTATATATATATATACTAGAACCATCGCGCGCGCTTCGCGCGCGCTCAGGTTCTAGCCCAGGCCTGGGGGGCGCTGGACGATCTTGGACAACGATATCAAGCACAGGCGCGCGACGGCATCTGAGGAGCTTCTGGGGTGTTCCGCATGCTTCGTCAACTGGCTGTTGGAGGCACCTCTTGGGTGCTTCTTGGGGGGGCGTCTGAGGGTCCCTTGGGGGCATCGGTTCTGCAATCTGAAGCCGTCATTGGCCGTCTTGGCTGCGTGGAAGCCCGACTTGAGGCCACCTGCGGCCAGATAGAGGCAATCCGGAAGCCTCCCGGGGGCCTCCTGGAAGCAGTTTTGACGCATCGAGGGCACTCTTGGGCTATCTTAAAGCCTCTTGGACGTCTCCTAGGGGCCTCTTAGGCCCTCGGGAAGCTATTGGGGTCCTCGTCGGACCACTTGGGGGCCTCTTGCGGCCTCCTGTGTGCCTTGTGGGGGGACCGATCTGCTGTTGGGTCGCGTTCCCCTTCTTGGGCCTCTCTTGGGGCTCTTGGGGCCCTCTCGGGCCGTCTTGGGCGCCTCAAGCACCGTCTTGGGGCCCTCGCGGGCCGTCTTGGGGCCCTCTTGGAGTCCTCTTCCTCTATATGGGAGCGGTATTGGAAGCCTCTTGGGCCGTCTTGGAGCATCGGGATGCCAAAAGGCCGAAAACATTAAAACCCGTCAAAGCCCAATCGTAAAACAATGAGTTGTGCCTCTTGGGGCCACCTTGGGAGATCTCTTGGAACCTCGTCGGCCCTCTTGGGAGCTTCTTGGGGGCCTCTTGGATCCGATTGGGGGCCTCTTGGGACTTCCCGAGAACCTCTCGGGGTAGAAAGCTCGGATTCTCGGTTCGTGTTTCCCTTCTTGGGCCTCTCTTGGGGCCGTCTTGGGGCCCTCTCGGGCCGTCTTGGGCGCCTCAGGCACCGCCTTGGGGCCCTCGTGGGCCGCGCAGGGCCCTCTTGGAAGCCTCTTCGGCTATCTTGGAGCTGTCTGGGAGGCCTCTTCCTCCTCCTCGTCCCCCTCCTCCTCCTCCCACTCCAACTCTCTCTCCTCCTGATCTTCCTCCTCCTCCTCCTGCAGCGTGTTCCGGAAGGCTCCCGCCGGAACATGCTGTGCACAAGTGCTGTCACTGCTCCCGCCACCGTGCCCTGGGTGGTGGGTCAGAGACCTCATGGGTGTTGGTGTGGATCTCGTGGTTGGCCTGTCGGGGACGTCGTGAAGGCAGTTTCGCAGCTTCTCGGTAGCCGTTTTGGGACCGTTGTGGGGCCTCCTTGGGGCTGTTTTGTAGCCTCTTTAGGCCTCGTTTGGGCCTCCTGGGTGCCTCTTGGGGGCCTCCTGGGGCCTCTTGGGGGCTCCTTGGGGCCTCCTGGGGCACTCTTCAAGCGGGAGGGTCGAATTTTGGAGTCGTGGTCCCCCTCTTGGGCGCATCTTGGGGCCGTCTTGGGGCTCTG